AACACAGATAGTAAAAGCAGAACTACATATTTGATTTTTATCAAGAAAAGAAATGAGAAGTTTTGTTTGGTTTTTTACCCCAGCTAAAAGAACAGAAAAGGAAAAGATTTTCTGTGGTCACTGAGGCATAGAAACTAAAGTGATTATTTAGCTTCAGTGTCAGCACAACCTCCTTTGCAGTGTCCTATCTGCCAGAAGACAGATGACTTGGTACGGAGACCTAAGTACAAACAAAAATAGAATAGAAATTGGAAGACTTAAGAAGGCCAAGCAGAGGTATTCATAAAAGGTTGTCCAGTATTTTGGTCAGAAAGAAGATTTCTCAAATGCAATGCAAGAACCATTAGATACCCATTCACATTATATCTATCAGAATTTAGTAGAAATTCTTTTCATAATTACAACTAATTCACATTCAAGGCAGTTCTTTCAATAAGTACCTTCTTACTGATATTTATTTTACTAAGCTAGTCTCAATAATGAAATTCCAATTAGTGATCTTCTATGAATAGCATATATTCAGTTTGCACAATTTGAAAACTCTTTTGTTTTCATTAACTAAACAAGACTACATTCCTTTGAAAATTGCATTATTCAGATTTTTGTGTATAAGCTGAAACTTGTTGAACCATCACATAAAATCACCACCGCAATTATCTTTTCCAGTTTTCATTTCTGAACAGATGCCAGTGAGGGACACAGCAGCAGAAACAACCTCAAATGCATAATTCCTCCAGAATTATGATCTGCACTGGATTTTTCAATGATCAAGCTCATATAAATGCTTGGCAGTTTACCCAAAATAAAGGAGTTTATTGAAAGGTCTAAGTATAATCTTACAGCCAGAGGAAGAAGTGAGAGAAGCCACTTAATATCCTTAATATCCAAAGGATAAGAAGGATAGGAGACAAAAAGTATGATTTGGGTTTTTTTTTAATGTGAAGGAATTTTCTATGTAGAAAGTTGGGTTTGTATTTAAAGCAATTCTGCTCCTATATGAGAACTCAAAAGAAGCTGACAAAATATACAACACTTATTTCCTTATTTTTAGCTGACCTTTAAAAACAATTTTTTAAACATACTGCCCATTTAGCTTTTCTAGTTCATACTTTTAAAAGCAGTTTACCATTACGGATGTACAGAACAAACAGTATGGTTCCCTTCTTTTTTTCCTCAGATTAATTTAGCATAGCTATTTTTATTTGACACATAAGAACACATTCTAAATTAGCAATGGAGGGACACCTGGCAACCTATCCAGCAAGTAAGTTCCTGCTCTCAGTCAAACATTGGATAAGGTGTTCTCTCTATTACAGACATAGCACAGCCTTTAAATTAACCTCTAATTCATCAAAAGTTAAAATTAGTGTCTGTGAATATTTACAACCTTAACTTTTCATCATTTGAAAATCTAAGCACCAACTTTTTTTCTACATTAAGACAGGAATTTTGGAATAAAAAGACAATATGATTGTACAATCAAGACAGGAGGGTTTCTATAAAGGCAACCAAAATGAATTCTAGACCTAAAAATCACTCTTTGGCAACATCCTTTTATAATAATGCCTGCATTTGTACACAGTAAAGAACAAATCACATACAGGTTACACTGGCAAAAATATCCCTTAATCTGCAGTAGAAGAGCACTACCTCTATAAGTGCTGGGAAGTGCAGCTGCAGAATGTATTCCCAGGGAACTGCAGGAGCTGTACAACCCCCACTGTGACACATACAGCTCCAGCTACGATGCTGCTGGCGCTCAAACTTTACAGAGTGAAACCAGCTGAGAGAACACTACCTATCTTATAACTCATTCCGCAATATCTGATCAAGTTCTGCACAACTGTTGAGATCTACCTCAGCTAAACTCTTACAAAATAGATGCCTGTTTCAACATAAAAGTTACTGAAAAATCCAGGTCTGCCTGGCAAAAACAAGCATTCGTCTCTGAAACATGATGTCATGTGCTACATGACTATTTTTCCTCTTTGAAGAAAAACAAATGCATTTTCCAAACTAAAAATATAACACACATTTTTATTTTTTAAAATCCATTTAAGGGATGGAAAGGTAGTACTCTGAAACACAGAATAACTGAAATTACTTCATGTATTTAAAAAAAATATTCTTGCTTTGATTTTCAGTGTATTAAGTCCAAATAATATAGCAGTACCTAAATTAGGCATTGAGCAAGTGATCAAGTTAAGAACCAGAACATTTTGTTTAGTTCTGAATCGACTTAAAATTGTGAGTTCAAAAGTTACAGCATGTAACATTGAGCTTTCCTAATTCTGGTATCAATAAAAAAGAGTTCAAGCTAAAGGGAAAAATATTCTAAAGGCTGAGGTAAGATATAACTATCTGTAAAACACTAAACTGCAATTAAAGAAATAACTTTTTGCTACGAACTTATTATCTCCATTGGTTTTACATTACTCTAATTTAATATTTTTAAAGACTAATGTCATTTAAAATATTTTGTTTAAAACAAGGTAAATGCACATGTGTGTATACAGTGGCTAATTTGACAGTTATGATTGAGATGAGTGGTTCACCTACAGCATATACAGAGACCGAGATGACAGAGAGACACATAGTCTTCATTCATACCTTTACGAAGTACTTGAGTACTTGGTTCTTCATTTGTAATCAAAGTCATAAAATAAATATATAAATAAATAAATATATATGTATATATATATATATATATATATATATATATATATATATATATATATATATATGTATATATAGAGATGTTTATCAAAAACTAGATTAGAAAATAGAGGAAAAACTTGGATCTGCAAGCAGAATCAGAATCATGACCACAAGCTCACTGATTCTTTTCAGAGGCATCCATGACCACCAAGACTAACTCACCTTTTTGCTTTCTTCATACCATCAGAAATGCCATTCCTAAGGGGATTGTTGAGATCCCAACATGCAAAGTCCATTGTAAGTAGAAGGTCAATAGCCAAAACTTGGAGCAAAGACATGAGTTTGAATGGCCCTGGTCATGCTGCCATGAAGGAATATTTTACTTCAGCTCTTGTTCTGCAAAAGACAACCCTTCCTCAACCACTAAACTATCTTCTGCTATAACTTGGCAAAGAGGATACTGTGGACAAATGTAAAGCAGCCAACAAGGATGCAAAACAAAGGCTTACATATCCATCTGCCTATCTCAATCACATCAATACTTTTTTAACTGCATTTCTGAGAGGATCAGTAAAGGAGCATCTGATGGGACATGGGACTTCATGCCTTACCTAAATCAGGCTCTGAGGACCAGCAAGTAAAATCCACGCATATATGTAAGTTATAGAAATAATACGTAAACAATCAAAATGAAAAAGCTAAAAGTATTAAACCATTTACATAATAGAAGCATTGTATAGCAAAATTAAGTCTCAAAAACTGACAAGTACAAAATCACATCCAGATACTATACCCTGCAAGACTTTATCACACAATTAAAAGCTTAACAATACAATAAGGAAGCAGGCCAAAACTGCTTCTAACAAACCTGTATCATGAGGTACTTAAAAGTTGTTACTTAAAATGTAAATATTGAATGATATTTCATACTAAAATATCCAATAAATTATTTTTACATTGTTCAACTTCCTTTGTATTGATCTTAAAGTACTTTTGGAATACTCTGATCTGATTACCCAGTAGACTTCCCAAAGACTAAGAAAAGCTTCTGTACAGTGTATGAATACAACTTTTTCTATGTGGATCTACATAAACTCCACAAAGATTAGGGAAGTTTCCGAACATACAAAACCCTCCACAGCATTTAAAATACTAGTTACCATATTCAAACATACAGCAAAATGAAAATAACTAATGCAGATGGCTCAGACAGAATCAAAAACATTCAAGGAGTATAATAAGAATGAAACTATTAATTTTGCTTTCTGATCAGACAACATTCTCATTTTCTGTTCAGTCTATTAATTACTAATCAGTTATACTGACTCTTTTAAACAATCTAGAACATGACTTGGGCAGAAGGATGCACACACAGGCAGAATCACATTTTACAGCAATCATTAAGTAACCTGAAATTGATGTCATTTTGCAGTATTATCTGTAGCAAATATAAATAAATTCATATTTGTAGCTAGACTATTTACAGAAAATTTTATATGACAGAAAATGAGGCAGATCACAGTGCTAATTTTAAGTGTCTAGCAAAAGAAGAAAATTGTCTTACAAATTACCACTAGAGTGAACAAGTAGGCAAAAAAATGGGATAATTAGAAAAGATATATGACAAAAAGGCAGGCAGATAATATGGCTTCCAAAGACATTTTTGTTATAATTTACATATTGTGCATTTCACTTACAAAACTAAAACCTTAAGCTTAAACTCTCCAAGCATATAATATGAGTATGTATTATATCCCTGCATCAGTTATGAGCACTTTGACATTCTATTTCTATAGTATATTGAAATGGAGTTTCTGTCCTATTAGTCTTGAGTATTTTCTACAGCAAAATACTGCCACCTTTTGGCTTGATACATAGACCTCCGAATTTTAAATTTAGAACTCTATATTTTGCTCCATTTGGTCTTTATGGAGGTGGTTGAATCCTTGAGATCTTATCTAAAATTTTATTCAGCAGACATACATCACCAGAAATTAAAACATATAGTACTAGTCAATAAGGAAAGTTTTTTCATAAGTACATTGCCAAGCAACTTAAAACTATACTTCTTTAAGCCACGTAATGTTTTATCTATTTTCTATCTCACAACTCTGTCCTTGGCAGAACATGATACCTTGCATTTCATTCCTTTTTCAAGTAAAAGCTTGGTAATGCATTCTTTGAACACCTGAGTTTTGAAAGCAGATGATAGAAATAACAATAATGCATTATTTAAAATGTTAGGTTCCTTGCTCATATATATACCTACATTATTGTACATGAAACACCAATAGTTCAAAATCTACATAAGCATGTATTGAAATTCATGCAAAATTACTTACACCAGTGACACAATGTCCCCACGTTGTACATCATAATTTCTAATGCTCCAGTGGTTCAAGAGTACTACATCAGATGCTTCTCTTCCTCCAGGATTCAAAGAAGGCTGAGAGAAGGGGATAAAAATAGATCTACATTTAGATCTACATTTCCTTTATCAATCTTCCACCTAATTACCTTTCCAACAACAGGTGAAACCCATTAAAATTGGTAGAAACATTCCCACTTGCTGTAAGAGGCCAAGAATCTTTGTATTACAGGAAATACATTTGAAATACACTTCTTTATTAAATGATATGTTAAATATCATTCATTTATGGCAAACTCTAGTTCACTACAGACTACATAGGATACATACTTATGGCAAGCCTGATGAAAATAAGGGATTGCTATTACTGCTTATCATTTTATACTAAAATCAAAGGAGAACCAAATACACTAATTCCCAGGGGAAAAAACCCAAACAAACAAGCTTTTGGCAGGCATCTTACTATTTATAAAAGCATAATGCACTAAAAATAAAATATGTACTCGTAGCAATATAATTTCAGCATCCTTTGCAGAGGGGAAAAACAAGCTCTACCTACAGCACATACTGATACTGGAAATAAATGTGGGCCTTCCACAATACGACACAAAAGGGCATGAATCAAAATAATCAAGTAATTAATGCATCATTAGGAGGTACAGCAAATTCCCCAAAATTGTTTTGTGTGATATGATACAAAACCAGGGTACCTGATCAATGCTGCCTCTGAGTTAACTCTTGGTAAAGGGCAGAGGAAGGAAGAAGCCCACCACAGTACTGTATTTATGTTTGCAAGGCTTATTTTAAAAAAGAGTCTCCTTTTACTAGACAGAAATAATTTCAAAGTATTCCAGGCTGAAGTTTTGTAATAGTTTATTTCTCAGACAGCTGTCTTCAAATAAAATTGCAATATCTCCCAAGTTGGCCAAGAAAATCACTAATGTATATTCTAGAGTTAGGTGATAAATGCAATAAAGAACAGAGTGTTGAAATTAGGCTACCCCTCCTTTTTTGTATAATAACTGCAATATTAGCTAAAAATTTTGTTGTTGTTGCTATTTTTGTAGAAAAGGCACTTACACTATAACTTGAACCACCACATAAACCACTGGACTTTCACTGCTGATATTCCCCTCTCCAAACTGATGCAACCTTCAATGAGTAAACCAACAGGGGGACTGAAATTAACTCTTCTCAACCCAAGTAATTACACAGTGTCAAATTTCATTTTATTGTTATTCAGTTAACTTTGTTCTCAAATAAAATGGTTATTTAGTTTTTATTTTTAACTTCAGAAGCAATTTAGAAGTGCTGATTACTTTTTATTACAGTTTCTTCATTCATCATTGCTAAATAGATTGGTTGACAAAGACATACTTCAAGTGGGATTTGTGAAAAATTAGTTTTTCAAGGTGCAAGAGGAAGTCATGTGGTAGGGTCTTCAGTAGGTGCAATTCACATGAAGTATGCAATATGCTAGGTCAAAAGAATAAACATGGTACAGAGAAGGGGAGGGATATGACATTACATGTTTAGTTAAAGAGCAAATTAGGCTAGTTACGTTTTGGACTACAGGCAAATTTCCAGTAGGGTAAATCAGGGGATCAAACCAGATCACTGTAACATCCATAGAGACATGGTCTGAGTCTATGCTATAAATATATTAACACTCATTTCTGTTTTATTTGCTAGACTCAATGCACTGCAAGAACCAGATAAATGAAAGCCAGGAAGTAATTAGCAGTTATTTTAATAGTAGTTCTTAATCAAGATTTCCAGAATTATCACCTTTATAGCATTTTCCACCAAAGGATCAAATATTTACACACAAGTGACTTACATACAAACTCACAAACAATTCAGTCATACTCACTCAAAGTGAGTCATACTCACTTTGCCAAATGCAGGTACATAGGGGCCAGAAGCTTCCAACACTACTAAGTGTAAGGCAGAGGCCAATCTTACAAAGCAGGAATCATATATATGACACATTCTCACAAAGTAAACTCCTCAGTACTCAAAGGTATCTGCCTTAAAAGGCCAAAAGATGAGGATGAAACAAAAGAGAAATCTTAAAACCATTGTTTCAAAAGATAATGTATCTCTCAGCTGATACTTAGAAAATATCTAAATAAGTGTTCACACACTTGTATCAAATAAACTTTCATCAACTACATCTTACAGAGAAATACATTAGGTAATTACAGTATTGTCCAAGTTGCACTATCTCAGTTGTCTCCTATTTTTTTGCACATTTAAACAAAGGAAATACCTTAGAATTTAAATACATTTAGATATTGCATAAGTTTTTTTAACTTAAAGCACTCTAAATGCATTTTTAACAATGCATTTTGACATACAGAGTGGATATTCAACTCATTATACATTAGAATTGTGTTTGAGAAAAATACAATGGTGTAGGCTTTTTTCTTCTCTCACAAAAAAAATTGACAAATGTGCAGACAATAATACTATTTTGTTAGAAGAAACTGAAGGAAAACTAGGAGATAACTATTCAAACATCAACAATCACTATTGTCTATTAAAAAAATAAAAGGTTAAATCCTTCAGCAAGCCTTTCTCTATTGTAAATAACACTACTTGAGATTCCACAACAAACAAGTATAGAAACAATACAACTTATTCCTCATAGTATTTGAAGTAGTAGTAAGGTTTCAAGTCTAGTAAAATCAAAATACAATTTCTGCAAAAGGAGTTAACAAATAGGGTCACAAGGGCTTTTCATAAGAAACAAAATGACACAGAGGTTTCTTCCTTCTTGTCTGAAGCATTATAACTTCTTTGCTCAAGTTTTTGGCATAAAATAAGGCACACAGGTCTTAATTTAAACTGTGGTGCAGAAGCCACAAAACATTACTCTTTCCAATTAATAACTAATCTAATGCTAAAAGCATGCAAATTCAGATTCCCCAGTGTATGATGAAGCCTCACAGGACATGAGTTTTTACCCTCCTACATAAGTAGGAGGGTAAAAACATGCCCTTTTGCTATAAATAATTATTAACTTGATAGTTGTTATGCCCCTAGTGAAGGTCACAACTTATTTGCTTGTAGCCTGGAGAACACAAAGAATATTCACATGAGCTCATTATTCACAAGGCTTAGGTACAATAATCCTAATAATAAAGTTAGGAGAAACTGCCACAGAATAATTACAACTGGTATTATGCATAATGGAACAGAACATTCAAAAACACAAGTGCTGCTGCAAAAACACAAGTGCTTCATCAGAGATTGCTGCTCAGGCCACTTCCTATAATCCTTGAACTGTTCCTGCTCAGACCACTTCCTTGGTACTGAACTGTTTGCAATATGTGTGTATAAAGCTGCACATATGCTGTTATTTTCTATCCTATTTGAAAACTGTCCATTTGATTTAATGAATTTACAAATGTATATATCCATGAGGGGGTCCTTTTCCACATCTTTATGTATGAAGAGTCTGTAATACCAGACAAGCAATTAAACTCAATTAAAAAATAACACAAATTAATATAAAGATGTCCATATGACAACAAACATTTTAAAGTATACAGCCCACACTACAAGAAGTCACACCAAAAAAGTCCATAAGTCAATTAATAAATCTTACTACTAGTTATTTTTTTCACTTACATTTAATGTTGTCAACAGATTACAACTCACTAGAAATACACAGAAGTAGAATGCTAGATGAGCACATCAATCTAAAATCCTAAGTAACAAAACTACCTCAAGTGATTAAAAATCCCAGTAAATTTGGAAATAAAAGAGAAAGTAATGAAACTATTAAAATTGTTAAAATTATAAACAGCAATAGTTCACAGTTATTCCCTATAGGTTAGAGTTAATACACATATACACTGAAGTCAGCACAAGTGAAATTACAACAGGTGGCTGAAAGCACTGAAAAATACAAAATCAGCTGGAGACAATACAATGCATGAAGTCTGTCTTAATTGGTTAGGTCAGAAATTTTTTATTTTCATTAGAAGCTTTATTCATATGCATACCAGGGTGTCAAAAAGTGTTCACATCATCAGTAACTATGAAGCAGCAGTAAGGCCGGTCCAGAACAAAAGGATAAAGTGTAGAGGGGAGAGAAAGCACACAGCAGAGAGCAAGAGTAGGAGAGCAAGCATGACACAGAGAAATTTATTTTTGCTTCTTGTAAAACCTTTTAATTTCAGGCTCAGCAGGAGCCAGAATTATAAGTACACAAAGCCAGATAGATATTTTAGAGGTCTATTACAAACAGATTCTTGGGAATCTTACCATGATATCAAATTGAGACAATAAGGTATCCCTGGAAGCATGCGACTGAAGGATACAATCTGACTTCAAATTGACTGAAGTTTAGCCTTCCTCATACCTATCACTTTCAGATATATTTGACATAGATCACCTCTCCAAGGAACACAGTTAACAGACAGAATTGCAACGTGACCAGTATTCCCTTAAGCTACTCTTAAAGAAAAGTATATATTTCTTATAATTGTGTCTCTGTCAGACTTGCTTAGATGTCTAATAAATCTTGGCAAGGAAATTAGTATCTTATTAAAAGCACTAGGACTATTTTTTCAATCTGAAAAATGGCCATATGCATAGAAGTTTAAAACAAACCTCTATTTCAGTTCTGTTTCAGAATAAAACCAGAGAGTTTTACAGACACTGAGATGTCAGTAAAATTATAAATGTCAGCTTTCAAGCTATTTTTCAATCAAGAGAGGGAATGCTTAGTTAACAGATACAGCAAGGGAAAAGCTTCAATTTTAATAATCCAGTGAATATATATTGCTTTCTCTTTGTCAGGTTGAATAAATCTAAGCAAATTACTGTATTGTGTAGCATCCCATGAACTCCCTGCTCTCAGTTAATTCTCAAGTCCTCTGCCTTGGCAAAGGCAGTGACTAACCACCACAGAGTAGTCCTCCTGGGGGGAAAAGGCAGACTCCCCCATGGACTTCCCCTGGTTTCTCCTTTCCCTGTTCCCTCATTGTTTGGATACCCCTGGTGGCTGCTCTGCCCCCTTCCCCTTCTTAAACTGCTTGCAGCACATGGTGTTCCCTCTTTCTCACTGGGTTCCCTTCAGTTTCATGTGACCTCGCTGGAATAAAATCTTGCAAAAAGAGCTTTTCTTGCCTCTCTCACTGAGTCAGCTGTGATGAGTGTGGTGTGGGGATCTGACTGCACTGCCTGAATGTTTACCAAACCTGCTTTTCTACAGGAGAATTTTTTTTGGCAACAGATATTAGGCAGCAGCTCCCACCATCCATTTCCAGAATTTTTAGTATTGGCTTTCAAATCTTCCATGGATAAACTACAGTAAACTGTGCTCCTCAAGTGAGTAGCAAAGCAATACTCCAAAACAATACCAGACCACTCTCAAACACTTGGGACTGACTTTAAAGAAAACATAAAACTGAGGGTCTAACCAGAGGGGCACAACACACTTGTGGAGAGGAAAATCTAAGAAATTTCTTTCCAGCTACTGAAGCAAAACTATTAAGCACTAATGGATGTCAAACAGAACACTAAATCAGAGGCAGAAAGAGATCAAACAATAAATGGCAATGTGGTATGCCAAATAAACCCAACACCTCAAAATTTAAATGCTCAGGTCACACTCACTAGTAGCAAAAAAAAAAAAAAAAAAAAAAAAAAAAAAAAAAAAAAAAAAAAAAAATCCAAAAACCAGAAATAAAAAAAAGGCATCAAGCCAAAACCAGAAAATCCAACATGAATTTGCATCTTAAAACATTCCATGTAGCTCTAGAATTGCAATAGAGGCAAAAAATGGGAAGATGGAAAACAGAGTTGTATTCATCTGGCTTATTTTGTACTTCTCTAGATGCTGTGCTATCTATTTGAAGTTCTACTGCTTGAATATAATAAAAAGATAATAAAACAGGTTTTTTTCACAGTTTTCCCTTCCTCTCATTTTTAGTGCAAATTTCTGGCTCTGCAACTGCAAGCCCTGAGATTGTCCCCTCTTTCACTGGTCATCAACAATATTCAGAAAAGCATCTGTGAAAAAGATAATAATAACTTACATTACACCTAGCTTTTGGGCTTGGATTGTGGAATTACTGGAGTAAGGTGATTTTACTTTCATCCCCATTCTTGATGTGAGAGCTGCCTAATGAGGTTTCTTGACAGAGTTTAAACATCAGATTACAGACTGCCACAAAAGATACAATGCCACCTTGCCATTCCCTCCTCCCCACCACATGCTTTTTAGAACATTAAACATAAATCAGCCAAGTGCAGGATCAAGTCTAAGTTTTCTAGCCCACGCATAAATTCTGCATAATTCAAACTCCAGCAGCTGGTCTTGATTGCTGTGAAACCTCTCTTCAAGGTTCTGAGCTTATTAAGACAATCAGAAAAGAGATCTTGACATCCAAGAATCAAATCCTTACTTTTTACTAATTGTAATGTTGCAACATTGAAACAAAATACATCATTGTTATCAGTGGAGATGCATACCAACATGCAGTGCATATGATTTAAAATGCAAAGTAATAACATGGAAATTTTCTATCTACATTAAAATATAGCTTTTTCAAGACCAAATAAAAGGTGAAAGAAATAGTGTTCATGAGTATTTATCATCTAAATTTTACACATGCTATTTATATTTACTTGCTTATGATGTATAAGCATTCAATACAACCAAAGTAAAAATTGTGAACTGATACCTATTTCCTGATAAACATAAGCAATAATAGTAGGTTCATGCCACTTTCAATATTCTTCCCTGTAATTGTGCCTTATGTGTTCAATAATAAGAACAAGTATAGAAGGAACAGTTTTACCACACAGTTACTACAAATTAGCTACTAAAAATTAATAAAGACTCTTTGTGAGTCCTCAATTCAATCCCAAGAGACAAAATATATTGCTCTACATATTTCTAAATGTCAAAACATATATCAAAACAATCTATCACTATTTCTCCCTATATTTTCTTTTTACTGACAGAATTTTGGGAAGTTTTGTTCTCAAAATCTTTTCTTTCACAGAATATTTAACAAAGTTGAAACTAAACTACTCCATACTAGAACATCATTTAATAACAACTGAGAAAATTTTTTTTTCACCCTGCTATGATCAGTGGAGAGCCACTTTTTAATTTACTGATACACAAAAGATATTTCCAGGAATACCTGCATTGATGCTCCTTCCACCCTTGCGACACAGGCAACTCTATCCAGAAAAGTCACAGTTACAGGAACGGCAACAAAGAAACCTTTAAAAAAGGCTTTAATGTATCTCCTCCCCAAACCCTGAGCTTGTGCCATAATCTGAAAAACATGAAGGAAAGAAAAAAGTCATTATAGAAAAAATTTGAAGTAACATCAACATGTAGCAATTCAACACAGAATAACTAAGAATAAATTTATTATCCATTAGAGGCTCACAATATCCAGAGTGAAAAGTGTGCACACAAGAATAGGAAAAAATCCCCAAACCAGCAAACCAGAAATCTTCATCAGATTTTAAATGTCTATTCTACAGAATCGAGCTTGATACTTTACATTTACCCTTTAGCTAATTTGAACATTTCTCGTGATCCTGTGCTAGCAGAAGTACTTGATAAAAATTATTCAAAGTGGCAGGTAAGCAAGAAGCAAAGTGATGCAACCAGGCAAAATTTAATAATGCATTTTGGAAAAAAGAAGCATTGTAAATCATTTTCTCTGCATACACTGGTATTTATTATTTTTTTACCCCCAAAGGTGGACTGTGTTAAGCAAAGGCAAGCTATTTGTAACACATCATCTTTTCTTTATTAAATATTTTCACAAATGAAATGCACAAATGCATCATTTTCACACTGGTGGTACTGCAAACATAAAATCAATTCAAATTGTCACATATATCATAGGGACACACCAGAACATGATGACTCCTTGTTCACCACTCCATTGCAAAGTTAAAAGCATGCTTGCAGACTAGGCAGCTACTTAATTACACATGGGATAATTCCACTCCAACTCCATGTATTTTACTATGCTTGGAAAGTACCTACAAAGTGCACTGAAACACCAGGTGTTTGTTTGTATTAGTCACACCTCTGAAAAGCAAGCTGAATATCCAGGTACTGCTGCATAGACCCAGGCCTAATTTACATAACTGCAGTTTTAGTATAAGAAATGCTGTCTTTCACCTATTGGCAACTCTCACCTAATGAATCCCTGGTAGATCAGCTTGTGTTTATATCCAAGATAGAGTTATTTTTCAATTAAAATAATGAAAAGTGCAAATATATACAGTTTCATTCAATCCTCTTACAAAGTACTTAAAATTTCACAATATAATCTTTTTTTCTTTGTTGTATTTTCAGAAACATGGAAGTGATTAACTATTTGTATGCAGAATATACATTTATATCACTCTGATGAAATAGTACTGAAGGTAATATTTCTGTCACAGATAGAGCTTAATTCCAAAAACCCATAAAACTTAGAGGAGAAAACTCAGTTCTACAAAGTAAGCCATCTGCATATTTGTCTCTAGAATTCTTTATAGATATTAACACCTTTGCAATGACAAAATCTGTCTTCTGAGACTATTATTTCTGATATTCACCTTCAAAAGGTTTTAATTATTTTTAAGTGGAAACATTTCATCATCTCTAACTTGCTCATAAATTTAAATTTTCACACTGCATATAATTCAGTTAATTTCTTTCTGAACATTTCATGAAAACATTTTTAATTTGCATCAACCACTTTTAAAAATAATTTGAAATATGTTGTGAAACAGAACAAAAGCCTGAGGATTTCAAGACAAAAGTTATAAGGATTTACCCTCAGCTTATCAATTAAGAACTGGTTATTAGATTCAATCCACCAAAAGAGACTATTGCCTCAATCAGCAGAATTTTACCTTTGGAAAATATGCCACATAAAAACAAAATCTCTAAAAATCAGGGTTTTGTCCACCTTCTGACTACATTATTGCCTACACTTTAATATCCTTCTCTCAGCCTATTTACTTTGAACTTTGTGTCTCGAGTTTTGTGTCTAGAACTCTACTTCTCTATGAGATCTGGCATCTCAGACCTCCTACACTCAATAGCAATGTCAGCCACAAAACCCCATTTTGAGACCTTACCCACAAATATATTCACCATGTTCTCTGGAGTAACTTGAGCAGGAAAACATTTTCTGACACATGCATTGGAATATGGCTGATTTAAGAATAGTTTTTAAAAATTCAGAAATCAAGCATCTTTACTACTCTTAAAATTCCTCAGAGTCAAACATCTTTTTCATTAATAATGAAACATGAATATTCATCCCATCCCTTCTACTAAATCCATGGACAGATCTTGTTATAAACTTTTTGCAGAAGCCCCATGCTAGCATCTACAGAAAAATCAAGCATCTGAAGAGAAGTAATTGGTCAGACAATTCACAGGAGACCAACCATATGCTTCCTAGAACTTAGAAGCTAATTAATAGTGATGGAGAATCTAGCAGTCAGGTTAAAACTGCTAAGACAAAATGCTTCATTCTCAGTACACCACTTGGACAAGGCAACACCAGCAGCCAGCATTAAGCAACGGGACAAACTGGAAATTAAAATCTTACTTTTGTGGGTTTGAACACATGTAGCATTACATGGCACAATATAAAAAATCATGAGGGGAAAAGCACTAGCAGCATCCCTACAAGCAATCGATTTGCAAAGCCACCAAAACCAACAACAGCTCATGTGCTGAAGGACTTCTCTACTTGGCCTGAATTTTCTCCTCTCCTCCTTTCTCCTCTTGATAACAGATCAAACCACTGGTTTAATCTTCCCTGTACACCAAAATGATGAGTCCTTCATTTATAATGATGAGTTACATTCTGAACTTTTCCTGGTTCCCCACCTTCCACACGAAAGGGCACCTTTTCCCCATAACACAAACTGAGCCACCCAGCACAAGCCTTTCCTCCCAAAAGACAGCAAACATTTGCAGACACATTTCAAGCAATTTGAGAATAATTATTTAAAAACAATCCACCTATAACTAAATCCTTTGATATAGTGTAACATTCTCAACACATGCAAACATTTTTGCCACGTCTGTTTCATAAACCTTCCCCTCTAAAAAGCACAGACAAATAAATGCACACGCAGAGTTCCCATGCAACTGTTGACAAAATAGTTCACCACCCAACTGCCAGTAAATGGGAAGTCTCCCCTCACTCTTTCAAGTTGTCTTGCACTGCTACAGGGGAAGGGCTGGAACACAGGCAGCATAAAGGCAGTTTGCAGCATTACCTTCTACCAGTAATGGACATGTGAATGGATAATCCTCAACTGACAAATACTACTGGATTAAAATGTGCAGTGTTATCTTTTCTTAAACTTTGATGGTCGTAGGAGAAAGGAAGGGGGAAAAGTAATGATAAGCATTTACTGCAGTCACAAGAAAGAATTTTAGGGTGGTAAAGGTAGACACAAAAACAACCCTGAAAAGAAAAAATTCTAGTTAGAGTTTTTTTAATTAAAAAAACAAGATACCCATCTCTCCTGATGGGTATTCTGCTCTTAGAGAGTTCCAAAACAGCCGTAGATTTTAAAAGCATCATGTTCCTGGAGTGAAATTCTGAAATACAGTACAGTGGCTAGTTGATGATGACAGGTTTAAATGCATGTAAGTGAGGCAAGCAAAGTAT